GGGGGGGGGGAGAAGGAGGGATGTTAACAAGAGACAACGGATAAAAAAATGACACACTTCGACACACATTCCTACACATTCAAACCCTCAGATCAAATCCTTTCCTTTATCATAAACTGAACACATTTATTTATATATCTTATTGCAGTTTATTGACTCAAAAATACCCAAATAGGTAGTGTTCACTTGGAGATACTTTAAACAACATAATATATATATATATATATATAATAGGAATGATTCTGTCCAATGTTTTATGATCCCAATAAGCTGTTGATCATTGTAACAGGAAATTATACAACAAGTCATTGGTTGTCACTAGCAATGACAAAACAGGTACAAATATTTCAATTTTTTTGTATATTTGCAACAATTTGTTCCCCCGCCGTGAGCATTGTATTGTGGGAGATAAGTGTTTAACAGCACACACTCAAAAATGAAGCATACTTGGTTTCCTGTTTGTAGTTTAGGACTGATTATTCTCTCTCCAAGTCACTACATGTCTGAACTACTGCCAATGCTGCCCCCTAGTGGTGTAACACTCTCACAGCCTCTCACCAAATAAATGAAACCATTTCCTCTCACGCGCTCTTATGTATACTCTCAGAGTACTACACAGGAACAAATCAAAAAGCAGAAGGCAACATGGAGGAATACAAAAAAAGAACAGAACATGTGTGTCAATCTGTCCGTTAGAAGGCAGCATTACAGAGAGCCTGCTCAATCGCTGTACCAGATAAGAAAAGCAGATAGAATGGGAATATAAAATCATATTCCTACTTTTCCAACTGTTTCAAACATCCTCTGCTGATGTTTCACTCACACCACAAAGTCATTAGTTTGTTTCATGTTCATTGGTCCATCCACCTTCTTTGACCAGCCATTAAATCACCAGAACCAGGAGGGGACCCCCCCGCCCTGGAAACACACCTGTGGATCTCGACCAATGCAAACGCACCTGTGGCCAGCAGGAAGGACTCAGGGGTTCTCGCAGGGAGGGGGGGAGGGGAGTCGTCGCTGTCCCAGCAGTCTGGGTTAAAAGGTCAGAGGTCAGATGAGAAGCAAAGTTAATGAACGGGCTCCGTGGAGGGAGGCAAGAGCGTTTCTCAAATCTTTCTCTAAAGATAGCAGGACTTCTAAAAGCAGTTTGAAATATGATGAGTCACCTTTCTGGGCAAATTTTAAACTTTATTTATAGACAATATAACTATAGATCATTTTGTTCTTTTTGTGTTTTTCTTATTGATGTTCCAAAGGATGTTCTTTTTTATTTTCACGTGAATGTTCATTTAATGAGATGTTGATTTGCTTATGTTTGACTGTATGTATGTGAACCCCAATGTGAACAGCCAATGCTAATGCTAGTGCTAATGGGGGTCCTAATAAAGAAAGAAATATGGACTGATATTTCCCCATTTCTTTCTATTGTAATATACTGTGATTTAAAATGAGTTAATATTAGGATGTATTAGATTAGAAACATTTATTGTCATTATACATGTACAATGAAAAATAAGAAAAGCTAATCCAGGCTGAAGACTTTTCTTTTTGCCGCTTGATATATTCTTATCTTAAACTGCACTTTAACTTCTATCATCTTAGCTTTTTATCTTTTCTTTTAAATGAGTGTTTCTAGATATCATTTTATAATATGTTTCTTAATGCTCTTAATGTGTTTCATTTTTGTAAAGCACTTTGAATTGCCTTGTGTTGAAAGGTGCTATATAAATAAACTTGCCTTGCTCCTTTTTTAAGGTGCCATCGAGATTTATTCAAACAAACTACAAAAGACGTCACTAAGTGGACCAGCCAATGCAAAGCACTCATTTAAATATCGGTATATACTTGTATTTCTCAGTAGTGAACCATGTAAAAGAAAATAAATAAGTCATATAATTAGCATGATAAATACATTTATTTCTGTTGGGTCTTATATATTGGACATACATATTTTATTTCTGGGACTTTTACTGTGCTGTTAAATTACTGTAACAGATTAAGCTGCAACTAAAATGATGGACATAATCATATCTCCTTACCTCATTCGGTTTATATTCTTAAAATGTATCAATTCTTGCCCATATCTATGTCTGAAGTCAACTGTTCTATTTATGTGGACTTTGGGAGAATACTAAGAGGCCATTACCCATAGCCTGACAGTAATAACTTTCAACTTGTTCTCCTTTGATCCAGACAAAGAAATGTGGCTATTTTCAATTAAAGCGCAATATCAGGAAGTCATATTGTATTAATGACCGTATTATTTGCCATGAGTGTGTGTCGGCCTCTATCTCACTGAGACGGAAGTCTGACCCCGGCCTTCATTATATTTTCTAACAATTTTCTGGAGGGTTAGGGGAAGCAGGATAGCTCAAATTAACTGTGATTATATTACATTTAAAGGGTTTTTTGTTGTTGCTTTTGAGCATAGCGTCTTTATAAAACATTTTAAGCCCTCTTTTCTTGGTTTAGATATTCAATAGAGAGGCGAAGTCCCGCCCATCTACTTCCGACCCATGGGACCTTATTTCAGAAAAATTATGTATTGAAGTCAATGGAGAGAGAAAGATTATCTTTCAGTCCCGTTTGGATTTTGTCCACGATTACATTATGATGTTGTCAATGCTTAAAGAGA